ACGCCCATGTCCATGGGATTGATCGTTGCCTCCGCCACCATCCTCTTGGGCGGTACGCTCTACATCACGCTCGATACCGGCTTCAAGTGGACGGGTTACTGGAACTCGTCGTACGAAGAGCCAAACCGCCACATCGCTCTCTACGTCTTGTACCAGCTTGCGCCACTAATTTTCCTCGTCGCGTTTTTCGTTCTCGAAGCTATCCTAGTTGTCCGGGTTCTCGGCGAGATGCGGCCCATGATCTACCTGACCGCAGCCTTGCTACTCTTTGCCATTGGCCAAATCTTCAACTACGTCGTGAGCTCTCACATCTGCAATGGCACCAATGGCGCAATCGACGGCGCACTTTTCGAGACCTTGTTCACCCTGCTTGCTGTCGTGGCAGTTTGGGTGTTCTGGTCTAGCATCACCGAGGATGACTGGCCCATGCCTGTCGGAAACACATTCCCCTAGAAAAGAGGCCACTCTACCAAAGGAGGAAACAGTATGACAAGAACGTACGCAATCAACTTATCGAGCACTTGAACAACGAAGTTCACGCGACATTGTGGTTGCTGCTTACAAGGCAACGATCGGCAGCATGGCTGGGGTTGCCATCCATGCCGTGACGAAGGGTCCGCTTATTCTCGACGGCGCACCATGCCGAGGGGCATTGTGAGCTGTGTCATCCGCATGTTCGCCAGCCGCCATCACCGGGCTATGCAGCTGCGAACCGATGACGACCCGAGAGCTTGAGCCAGTGGCATGAAGCCCAGGACAAAACACACGATGGCCACGTCCATAATCGAAGCCAGAAACACCCACGGCTTGCTCCGGATATTTTTCTTTACACTCTTTAGCACCGGCCGGCCTTTATGGTCCGACGACGTGCACGAATTTTGGATACCGAGGGCATGCGACAAGACACGCATGCTGAATATTTCATAATTTCAATCTCACCAAACACTGAATGGTTTGGAATGCTAATGAGACGAAACGCTGCGTCAACAGTGTGAAGCAGCAGAGGAGGAGAGAAGATATGCCTGTAGGGCATGTTTATGACGTTTGGAAGAGTATTTTTATGTTTGGAAAAGCGCGGATGCATGAGACGATAAATGGACGCACGAGACGTCTCGTCTTGTTTGTACAGCGTGTGAATTCTGATATTCGACGTAGTGGCGGACAGTATACCCAGGAGGAGCGACTAATGTATATGAAGGTCGAATGATGGAATTGACAGATGAATGGTTTACTTGAAAGTTCTTATCTGCAAATTCCGTATATAGTGTATCAGTGCTAGGTGCGCCACATGCATGCCACACAATCCTAAAGTTAGTAACAACCATGTTCAAGATTCAAAGTGTATGATATCTACATAGTCAATCGCGTCAGTCAGTCAATCACGCAGTATGCGCCAGTTCACGTCCTGCACCTCAACGGGCCGAACGACGACGACGTTTAACTCCGTAGGTGGCTAATCTGGGCTTCCTGATCAAGCAAGCGAACACGACCTCGACAAGTAGGGAATGCTCTCTCTTTGGCACCTAGAAGTGAAATATTGATCAAACGCAGGGTAGATAACAATCAGATAATCATTCTGCAACTCGCAAAAGCTACGAGACAAACCCAATGGTAACCATAAATCATACTTAGTAGCATCGACGCCTGACAGCGACAGTCCCACGCGTGTTGATTCCATCATATGAATTCTCAAAAAACCGCACCTACAAAGCAAACACTTATGTGATCTTGAAATTGACCAAATTGCAAACCCCTGCTCTTCTGTTCGGCCTTGTCAGCACCCCTTTTCTTCCCTCTTCAACAAGTCTACATCGGGAGCGACGTGCGAAGACCAACATCCATGATGCGCTGTCACCAGTGAAGCCATTATCCGCCAGATCTAGGACGAGAAACCAAGCTTCTGCTTTTGCACACGCGGGATGATACCCACGAGGATCATGAGAGACGTAACGACAACAGCCCAGAGCTTCAGCTTCAATACGTTATAGTTGAAACCAGTGTCAATGGCTGTCGCAGCCGTCGCGAGCAGAAGCACAAGAACGACGTAGCCGCTCCAGCGATGGTACTTCCAAATGGACTTGGCAGTGTCCTCGCCTCCGTACAACTTCGGGGTAGCCCACATTGTAAAGCCGACAATGTACTGCAGCAGCAGGATGATGGAGACGGTCACGCCAAGGTAGCCGTGAACAGAGTGGAAGTGGGAGTCGGGGCCCTGCAGGAACTTGTTGTACTCGATGATGCCAACACCGGCGACGAGGAACAGGAAGGCGAGCAGGTTAAGGCCGGCGTGAACGCGCTGGCCGACACGTTTCTGCTCGGGAGTGTGCGTCGGCTGCAGCGAGAGGATCGACTGGGTGAGGGTAAAGATGGCGAGACTCTGCGCAAGCGGGTGGCCGGAAAAGAGGATTACGTCCTTGGTCAGCACGGCAGCCCAGATCATGGCAACGAATATAACGGCGCCGAATTGGGCGATGATGCCGGTGCCTATGAAGGTTGAGATATCAGCAGCTGCCCGGGAAACCGCAAAGGGAGACAGGGTGTGGCTGGGCAGAGAGCAACATACCGATGATGAGGTTCCTGGCAATGAATTCGCCCGGTTGTTGCTGAGCGTCGCCAGATCGACCAAGAAGAGGCTCGAACTCATTATCGCCATCGCCTCGTGGAGGTGGCTCCGGAAGTCCTGTGGCGGAAGACATTGTCGTAGACGTCGTCGCCGTCGTTGTCGGTGGGAGTTGCAAAGATCGGGAAATGGGTCTCGGGGAATGCAATGTGTTTCTAGCAGCGAGGGCGCAAAGTCACGACAGATCTACTCTCGATTGTTGCGATAGAAATTGCGATAGTTGTAAGCGCTTGGAGTCTGTCAGGATGAAGAAATGAAGTTGGAACAAGCACACAGAGCGGCGTTGAAGTATGTTCGAAACGCCGTGAGCATTGGGGACCGGGTTTGGAAGGAGGAAAAGAAGACGAGGGAAGGGACGGCATTTTGGCGGTCGGAGAAGGTACTGAGAGGTCGTCGATGGCGGCATCGATGACGGCGAGGTTGTCTCGAGCTGTGACCTATCGGAGGCCGCGTATTTCTGATTGAGCACTCGTTGCAGGGGGTGATTGCAGGGAACGGTGCGCTAAAGGGTGCAGGTGGGGTAAGGTAGGTAACCTGTCGCTACCGGTCCGCCGCTGTAGAATTCGGGGAAAGGGTACGTACCTTGGCTGTAGAAGCACGCTGCTCACTGGAACGGGCAACCGCTAACATCGATCTCACCCACCATCCCGCACGCAGATGGCCACCTCATTGCACACGCTAGACGCTAGGGACAGTTGCTCTCAAGCTTTCCCCCAGCATGGGCCGGCTCGCATTGTTGTTGCCATTTAGTCGTCTATGCATTCGTCTGCATGTGCGGCGGTTCGGCTTCTCTCTGGGTGATGACTGTTGCCCGCGTGGTCAAATCGAAGACAGCAACGCCCTGTCCGAGAGCTCGAGAGAAGGTCGACCCCGGGACCGGATGGGTCGGGAAGACACCAATTTGACAGTGAGCAACGACGATGTCGAATGTCAATAGAGGATGATGTGCGAGGTGTGCCCGGGAACTGGAGCTCACGTCGAAAATCACTGCCTTGTCTTGGCTTCATTGCAGTACACAACCTGGAACTGCAGATAGTGTGCGTGTCATCCATCCCGCGAAAGGTGTGGAAGGGAGTGTTGGTGTCGGTGGTGACCACCTCATACGGCATCGTTTGTCAGTTACCTTACACATCCAGACCAGCAGTTTTCTTCACTGACTGGCCTGGGGCTGCTTCTTTCTCACGTGATGGAACGAGGGGTCCTTCGTATTCCACCCGTCGCTTCTCTATCTCGATTGTTCCTAGCCGCGGTATACGACATCTTACTGTGCAAGCAGCAGCAACTTCCCATGGCGGATGACACTGCCGACGGTGATGATGGGTGTCGGAGCGTTCAATGCCATTCCTTATCAGATCCTCAACGTCACAGGATGATCGATGTTTGGAGGATTGTAGACTTTGAGGTTGCAGACTGCCACTGAAGTAGGTACATATACACGCACCGCACCTGTACACACCAGCACATGGTATCTAAGGTCCCTAGAGAGAGAAGCATTTAGAGGGTCGGAATTACAGAAAGCGAGAAGGAAAGACATGGCCCTACGTACCCACACTACAGCACACAAACTGTCAGCAGTGACAGACGGACATAAAGATCGGAAAGTCTTCCGGATCGTATCATCTCAAAGCCTCCAGTCCGGCCTTGGCTTGCGTATCGGGCTTCCATTGTCCCCAATTTCTCGGCGCCAGTTCTGCCCAGGAGCCTCCCGTCCCGCCCCGCCGACCGAATAGCGGGGTTCACACCGTCACACTCACGGGCACTGGGCACTGGGCCGATGGGATTGCGGGGAAAACAGCATCACAGTTGTGTTTGCTGCGGACGGGAAAAGTCGCAGATTGGCCCGCCGTCTCGCTATTAGCTTAGCTTAGCTTACCTTACCTTAGGTTACCTTACCTCAATTACCTGATACAATCGAATCATTACGCCCCCTTTTTTTTTTTTTTGCTTATCGCGCCGCGCGCCGTGACTGCCCGCTGGCCGCCGGCCGCCGGCCGCCATCAACCCCTCCAAACCCCTCCAATGCGGCCGTCAGCTGTGGCCGCCCGACCTCGGAACTGGCCGCTCGGTGCAAACTCCAGTCCAGTCGGGTGCGTGAAGAACAATGGATGAAGGGGTCGGGCGAGGGCGCCGAACGGCCAAAGCCCATGACTCTTGCGCGCGGCTTCTGCTTCTCCTCATCCGACAAACATTTACACTCACATTCGTCTTCATCTTCCATCAACTCCCATTCTTCAGCCCAAGTTCTGCAAATTCCAAGTTGGGATACCATCCATCTATACACCCTCACAGAACTCATATCTTGGTGAAATTCGGACCCCGCGCCTAACGTGGTTTGCCCCTCTTCAATTCTCTCCATATCACACGCTCTCCAACCTTCATCATGGCCAGCGAACAAGAATACACCCTCGAGCAGGTCAAGGCTTCCAGAGTCGCCTCAGATGACATTGACACAACATTCCGCTCAAGCAGCATTGGTAAGTAATGAGTGAGACGCCTCATCGTCAACCCCACATCGTACACGCACATGTCATGACAAAGAAAACATACTGATGTTCCCCTCCAGACTTGATCTCTGCTGCTCTGGGTGGAAAGATTCTTGCCTTCTCAGATGAATGGTTCGCCGAGGCTACCAACTTGTTGACGCCAACCGCGCCCATTAGGCAACCAGGAAAGATGGTCTACACCGGCGCCTGGTACGACGGCTGGGAGACCAGGCGTCACAACACGGAGCGCTTTGACTGGGTCATTGTCCGTCTTGGTGTTGCTTCCGGCACTGTCGAAGGTGTCGAGGTCGACACCGCCTTCTTCTCTGGCAACCACGCCCCCTCAATCTCCGTCGAGGGCTGCTTCAACCTCAACGACGACGAGGTCGTTTCATGGAAAGGCGGCAGGGGCCAGTGGGAGACGATTCTCGGCAACGAAGAATGCGGCCCGTCGCAGCGCTTCGGATGGAAGCTGGCTGAGCCCAAGCAGAAGCAGTACACTCACGTCCGTCTCAACATGTACCCAGACGGAGGTATTGCCAGATTCCGCCTCTTTGGCCACGCCGTCCCCGTCTTCCCCGACGACAAGGAGGCCATCTTCGACCTGGCAGCCGCCCAGAACGGTGGCGTCGCCATCTCCTGCAGCGACCAGCACTTTGGCACCAAGGACAACCTCCTGCTGCCGGGCCGCGGTAAGGACATGGGAGATGGATGGGAGACGGCCAGATCGCGCAGCAAGGGCCACGTGGACTGGACCATTGTCCGTCTCGGCGCTCCCGGTTACGTGCAGAACGTCGTCGTCGACACGGCGCACTTCCGCGGCAACTTCCCGCAAAAGTCAAAGATTGACGCCATCTCGTGGATCGAGAGCGGCGAGCCGGGCGCGGACGCCGCCGGGTGGACGGAGATTGTGGCGCCTAGCAAGTGCGGACCGGATGCGGAGCATGACTTCCCCAGCGCTGTCAAGGACAAGGCCTTCACACACGTCAAGATCACCATTATTCCGGACGGCGGAGTGAAGAGACTGCGCGTCTTTGGCAAGAGAGCATAGACGTTGCGCGGACAAAAGCTACCTAAGTATTCTGTGTTTGGATTTTCTATTAACAGGTTATACATAGGTTGCAAAGGAGGTAAAAGCAGAAAAAAGAACCAAGCTGAGGATAGAAAAACAAATCTAAGAAAAAATTGGAATAAGCGAATAAGGGGTGAGCTTCATGCCAGGACCTACCTTACCCCCCTCGTTTCTGTGTGAGCGTGCATGCGCTGGTCTTTGAGTGGTTTGTCCGCACTGGCTGATCATGAGGGCCATTGACCAGAAGAGAGATGAAGGGGTCAACCTGAAGGCAGTCTTGCTATTCTCAGATACATATCTATACGGAGTACCTTATTGAGGCTTGAAGATGCGGACATTGTATGGTGTATGGTAGAGCAACGACAGGCACATTATACACATATTGCAGTCAGGGAGAAAGGGGTTGTCAACTTGACAGGAGAGAGTGATCTTCAGTTCCATGGCAAAGTTCCGTCAGGGGAAGCTTGGTGGGGCACTGCAATGGAAGCCAGGGCATGCACGGTCCATACGTAGGGTACACTCTTCCGGGAGCTAGGCGGGGGAGCTTCCTTCAGCGTTGCTGTTTAGGCGGTGCGTGAAAGGTGAGGTAGCACGGTAGAAACGGATGCCCGCCGTAATCAATTAGTGACATCAACAGCCCGATCGCCCGTGGTTCATCTACCTGAACTGAGCCCTGTTGGCGTGGACCGTTGCGGGACTCGGGTACCGAGAGTCCTTTCCTATGGGACAGAACTGGGTCCGGGACTGGGCATACAGCACACACAACTGGAGGAGTGGATTGGACACGGAACAACACTTCGACATCACACGACAGTAGCGGCGCCGAGCGCTATTTCGTTCCTTTACAACTACCTACTTCTACTTCTACTATCCAGTGCGAGAGACAGACCTCGCCCGACATAACATCTTTGGGAGCCACGAAACTTTCCGTGCGCCGTTTCCCACAAACACCCGGCCCGCATCTTACCTCGAAACTCGCGCCGCATAAAACAATACCCTCCGCCGACTCATTAATGCCTACCGGGCCTCCTAGTTGCCCCTCCTCCCACCATGGACTTCGAGGACGCTAGTGGTGGTTTCGGCGACAAGAAGCCACGCCCACTGCCAGACGACCTGCCCAAGTCCCTCAACGACCGCAGTCGCCGTCCCGTCGAGTTGGTTCCAGAGACGGAGATGTATGATGGATGGCAAGGTTAGTTGACGTTCCCACGTCATCCGCATACTCACTACCCGGAAGCACGAAGGGGGAGGAGCATCGCACACTGACGCCGCTCAACACATCACACAGGACAATCACAGTTTCTGACAACGCCTGTCCTTGCAAAGCCCCTCAACTTTGGCGACCTAAGCCTTGACGATCGCACATATGACGAGGACATTACAGCAGGCCCCAAGAACAGCGACGCGCGCCTCATGGAGATGATTGCCGCACAAGCCGCCCACCGGGTTGGGCCCGGCTTCGACGACGAGGAAACAATACTTGCAAACGGAAAGCTGTCCGAGGACGAAAAGAAGGACTCGCTGCAGAGAGCTCTGAACATGGCTGCCAGCAATGGCGACGTCGAGAGGGTCAGCAACATCGTGAGCGGCAAGGCAAAGGCTTATGTCGATATCAATGCGCCGGACGAAGACGGAACACCGCCGCTGATATACGCAAGCTGTTTTGTGAGTCGAGGCTTGACACACGGCGAAAGTGCTATCGCTGACTCGGATCCAGGGCCACGAGGGTGTCGTGCAAGCGCTCATCGACGCTGGCGCAGACGTCGACAAGCAAGACCGAAATCAGTGGAGCGCTCTTATGTGGGCGATGACGAATAGGCATAAGAGCATCGCCAAGACTCTCCTCGACAACGGTGCTTCGGCCGAACAAAAGACGTCGTCTGGCCGGACGGCCTTCGACTTTGTCCCTCCCGACAGCGACATGTCCTTCTACCTACACGATAGCGGCTACAATATTGGCAACGCCGGTACCGACGACTTCTACAACCCTGGGTTTTCACAGGATCGTTTTGAGGAGGAAATGGCCGAGAACGAACTGCGGAGACGGATGATGATGGACAGCGCTCGAGACCTTGAGGTTGATTTGGGCAACGTTGGCATGGATGACCAGCCAGAGGTAAGCTCTGACTAGGCACATCTGAACGGCCTACATGCTGACATGCGTAGAATTCCGAGGAGCTCGAGGAAGAGCAACCAGAGTTCGAGTGGTCTCGTTGTCTTCACGACCAGATGTTTGTTTTCCAGGAACACGAGCTCGACCGCATTCTCGACATTGTAATCACCAACATGACGCCCCAGCGATCACCGGCACAAAAGCCTGTACCGGCGAACATGATTTTCCTAAGCGCACGATACGCGCACTACCACTCTAGCCCCGACCTCCTAGCCAAGCTGATGATTTCGGCCATGGACAAGATCAACGACGTTGTTGAACAGTACCAGTGGGACATGACGATACTTGCCTTCTGGATATCAAACGCCACATTGTTGCTTCACTACCTGAAGAAAGATGCCGGGCTCGTGGAAGCTACGGTCGAGTTCCAGGCTCAGCTGTCGGAGCTCATCAACGAGATATTCATCCTCATCGTACGGGACGCCGAGAGGCGGTTAGACAAGGTGCTTGACGCAGCGATGCTAGATCACGAAACAATCCCAGGCTTCGAAGACATTGCGTTCCAGAACGAGTGGAGGATCTTTAAACGAAAAGCACAAGTCAAGGAAGAGCCCATGGAGAAGCGCTTCCGGCCCCCCTCCCCAAAGCAACGGGCCAAGCCTGCTCCGCGCAACGTCACTTCATTACTCTCATCCACCTTGTTCGTTCTTGATCTTTATGATATCCACTCAGTTATTACGGCGCAAATCATCTCTCAACTCCTCTACTGGCTCGGCGCCGAGCTCTTCAACCGCATCATGTCCAACCGAAAGTACCTGGCTCGGACAAAGGCGATGCAAATCCGCATGAACGTGTCGACACTGGAGGACTGGGCTAGGACCAACAACCGCCAACCAGAACACTACGAAGGAGGTGAGACGAAGTCCTCGGGAGAGACGACAATAGACGCTGCGAGGCGGCACATGGCCCCCGTTATCCAGCTGCTCCAATGGCTGCAGTGCTTCTCGTCCCTTGGCGCCGACGACCTCGAGGCCTTGGTCGGTACCCTGCAACAACTGAAGAGGCTGAGCCCGCAGCAGCTCATACATGCGGCTTCGCATTACAGGCCGGAAGTTGGCGAAAAGGGGTTGCCTAAGAGCGCACTCAAGTATCTCAACGCGATCCAGGCGGAGCATGTGCGCAGGAAGGAGGACCGCAAGAGCAGCGCACCGTCAACACCGGTCAAGACGAAGCCCGCAAACGGCGGTATAGGGGGAACGCCAGGGAGCCAGGCGGCGACAAAGACGCCAGGGGCCGATGAGAGCGATGAGGAAGAGGACGACGCGCCGGAGAACCTCCTCATGGACCCGGCCATGATGCTGCCCTTCACCCTGCCATCGGTCACGGATATGTTGGTGTCTTACGGTGCTGGCTTCGGCGGCGTCAACAGAGAGAGGGCACGCAAGTACATCCCCACGGTACCGCCCGAGTTCCTTTCGAAGCTTGAAGCTAGCGGCGCGCGGAAGGGCCCGATGTTCAGCGAGAAGGACTGGGAGAATGAAGAGGTTTGAGAGGGAGAGGCAAACCCTGTCAGAGGCGGATTAGGTACATGAGTAATGGGAATCGGTATTCGACTTCCAAGTGGCTGTCCCACCAGGCGCCAAAGCGCAGACACCGCACAGCAGTAGGGGGATGGGTGGAGAGACTCGAGGACATGACACGAAGTAGGGCGAAAAGGATCCCGATAAGCATAGCGTTTGATTGATTCGATGGGACGGACGATGCAAGGGGAAGCAGATAGGGTCCACTGCGATATTGTGATAGCCCCCGGGGAGGGAGCATCTCGTACTCCGTAGACGAAGGGATTCAATGCGATGGAGGACATTGGAATTAGCTCGCGATGTGCCAAGGTGCCCAAAGGCAGAAGAGCTCAGCGACGGGATAGAGAATCTACAGTCTATTCCTCGGGAACAATGACCCATGTGCTCTTGTCCTCCTGTTCCCTCTCCTGTTGACTCATACTGGATTGTGCTGGCGCCCCAGAGCTTTGGAGAAGGTAGCCCCCACTCGGCCCGTTTCCACTGTTCGTGAACATAGCGGGGAGAATGGAGAAGTGGTTCTTTGAGGAGGGGGGACAAGTTGCCAACAAGGAGGGGGAGAAATGCAGGCACGCGGATTTTGCCCTCCGAATAGTTCGACCGAGTGCAAAGTTGCCCAAGTCTGACTTGAGCCACGTTGACGAAGCACAAAAGAGTCACGAGATATGCGAGATCCACGAGGGACACGAAGGGGAGCCGCGGTTCAACTCATTTCGTTGCCTGACGTGGATTGTCAGTCGGCGCAGCGCTTACAGATTTATTCAGGGCAGAACTTTTTTGCTACACAAGATGGCTTCGGTGGATCGTGGAACGTCCTGTGTTGGCCCCTGGTGGGACGACCCAGTGACACGGAAAGGGGGGAAGCGCCTAGGGTAAGAAGGTGAGGGGTGCGGAGGACCCTGAAATTCGAATTGGAGAGGGGGGGGAGCTGATGAAGCCGAACCCAATGCGGGGATATTGAAGGTGTTGTTCGGAGGTAACGGTCGCAAATGTCTCGGGTGCCTCCGACTAGAACCATAGCATTCGTACCAATAGGTGAAGTGTAGGATACAATTAACCATTGGCTGGGCCTGGTCGTGGGAGTGTCACTCGCGGACTAGGATGTGCCACGTCAGATCTTTGTTCCTGGCGCCGCGCTGGGCCTGGGCTGGCAGTATCCGTAGTGTACACTGGATGCTGTAGTTATCCCTCTCGAGGGAAGCGGGAGGGCGGGCGGTTTGGCCCTTTAAAAAAAGGTTCACAAAAAAATGATGGAACGCAAACGCTGTTGGGCCGATTGGTTCTTGTGTGATTTGCCAACTGTTCGAGATGTGCTACGTGGGACGAGCCGGGGAACGGCATGGATGGAGCCGGTCGGGAAGTTTCCGTTTGCTTCTGAAAAGTCTGGATCTGCTGTTTATTGGTGTACGGGGCACACGAAGGCGTGACATGTTTTGATCCCGTTGCATTTTGGAAAAATTTGTCCGAGAGGGAAGAGGAGAGGGGAAAGGTCTTGAAGCTCAGCTCCAGCGATATTGCGCATTCTTGGGATTCGATTTGCTTTTCACCCTCCCCCCCTCCCCCCGATGTACTATGGTGCCTGGGGCGAGCCTGGGAAATAGACAAGAGTCGACATACTCGAGATCCTCTCATTTCAACTCAAATCCCTGATCCAAATTGGCGTTGGCATATATGATAGACGACGCCAAAAGCCCTTCCAATCCGTATTCGTCCACAACTTCAGCTCGATGTGAAAAGGGAGAACACCTAACCTGGTCTTTCTTATAAGTTGTAACATGGGTATGTACCTACGTAGGGCGACTGGAAGTCAACAACGTCGCTTGGGCCAACCATGCTACCAGCTTTCCGGCTCATGTACGTACCTTTGATGGTTAACCTTCCCTGCTGGTCCTAGTCAGACCTCTAGCGGTGTCTCTGAACTCGTGAAGGACATGGAAGGCTGAGACACAGGGTATTTGGTGTCGATCCAGACGAGCCGCAAGTCGCAACAGAGTGCCTGTCGATCAAGGGAGGACTGTAAGCTAGCCGCATCGTGTGTTTACTTGCGATGATATGCGGCACGGCTTCAGACTTGAGATGAGGGCTACCTCGGGCCCGGGAGCAAGGGAGACGGAAAGCCTGTCCATGGGATGGAATCGACTCGGATTGGTCGCCAGACGGGCAGTACGCCAGTAGCTATCGCCATGTCGTAAATTGATGGAATTGGCGTTGCGGGAGGCTGCAAGGGCTGACAAAGAGACGTGGTTGCAAACGGAGGGGATCCGGGGTCAAGTGCAGAGGCGTGTTTGTTTGCATCGGATGTTGGTCGTCGGAAGGTCTCGTTCCCGTTTCTTCTCATTTCTTCTTCTCTTCTTCTTCTTTCTCGTAAATTGACCGTACAGGAAAGACACGTTTCCGATAGCCCATGGAACCAGTGGATCGATCGAGACCTTTTCGATGACCGGTGGGCGATTAGTGACAGACAGTTGCCACCAACGATGGAGGAGCTGAAATTGGGAGGTCCAGAGATGCCTTGCTCTTTGCCGAGACCAGCCAGGGCCGACGTAGGAGATTTTGAAAGAGGCAAGTCTCGTGCTCCTTCTTCACCTCGAACAAGTGTGACCGCAATTTACGGCTGCTTGAAGCGGCCGTTGTTGTGTTGCCAATGCAGAGATGGGCGTGTTACTGTGTATCCGTAAGGCAGACCGGAGATCAAACGGGCCAACCACCCAATAACCCATGTTGGACCATCGTCGGTTGCTGTGGTTGTCGTCGCGTTGAGATTTGAGATTTGGCGGTCATGAAGAAACCAGCCATGCGAACGGAGCTCGTCATGCAGCAGCGTGGGTCCCATGAACGACTGACTGACTCCAAGTAGCGGTCTCTGCTCCGTAATGCAGAGATGAAGAAGAGAAAGATAGAGCGCCTCACCGACTCAATGGCAATGCCCTAGAGACGAGGTCGAAGTATCCGTACGGCCCGTCTTTTCTCTCCCTTCCTTTGGGTAGGGACGCATGGACAGATGGCGGGAACTGGGGCCAGTTACCCGATCGAGAATCGTTTGCTGTACAAGGCGACATGGGTTGTTGGCGATGTGGTTGACTGACTGACCACGTCTTTTTGGTCTTTCCGCGGTTTCACCCCCGTTGTCTTCATCATTTCTTTTGTGCGAGTATCGTGTTTTCCTCATGCGCGCATCCATTTGAAGTGATTTCTGTGCCTGGCTACATTGCACTTTAATGTCTAGGTACTCTGTCCCCAGGCCCATGGTTACGATGGCAAACAACTTGTGCCTGGAAGTTCAAGGACGGCCCTTCCTCTCCAGATGACAAGTTCAGACGACAACACCCACTTGCCAAATGTCGAAGCAGGGGGGACCCACTCGGGCTGGCCAGTCCAGGGCTTCTTTTTTGTCCAATTAGATACTGATTTACGGTGGATCCATCGCCCTTCTGGGACGAAAAGCTGCCAGCATTCGAAGGTGGATACGGTACGTAGACACTTGCCAAGTTGCCAGCCAAAGGCAAGTTCCGATTCTAGGAATGTGCGACCCGTACGTAGGAGTACGTACCGAAGATACCCTGCTCTCGCTAGGAGCGCATTCCTCACCCCCGACCGCCTCCAACGTGTTGTGGACTTTGGACTTCCAATGTGGTTCTGGTGCCGGGACACTACCGCGATGTATTGCTGCCACCGCCGCTGCCACCGCCGCTGCCACCGCTTCCTGCATTTGCAACCCGACCCTGCTGGGCTGGAGAAACGAAGGTCATGAGCCTGTCACCCACGCCGTTTTCTGTTCAATCTGACGAACGCGGCAAGGACGGCTGGGCGTGTAGGAAATAGACGGGGCGCCGCACCGGGGGAAGCAATTGTGGAAGAAAAGAAGAGAAAAGAAAGGGTGCCCTGCTCTCTCTTCCCCAGCTTAGTTATCCGTACTTTCCTCCTTCTCAGCTACTTCGAATCCGGACCAAGAATTTGCACCTTCACCACCTCATTTCATGTCCACACTGGCACACACATCCATCCTTCAAAACTTTCAAGAGCCTTTCTCTCCTGCACCTGGCGTTTATTCATCATCCCAAGACGCCCCCTCCGATAGACAGCCTTTGATCACCCACCTGATTCCAAAAAACACCCACCACGCGACTCTTTCCCGTCACTCAACGGATCTCATCAACCCGACCTCACTCACCTCATAAAGGTAGCCAATCCTCCCTACCAAGCATTCCTCCACCTCCGGCGCAGTATTAGAAAGTATCTTAACACCCTTCTTCACTCAGTCTCTCACCTTGGCATTGCTGGTCTTTTGCTATTCGGCACAGACACAGACAGACTCGCTCAAGTGACTTGACTTACACGACGCCAGCAGCACCACACCAATCTCGCCAGTGTCGTCCTTGTCATCGCCGACCTAACATCCTGCTTGCTCCTACCGATACCCATTCGTCCCTCGACTATCGCCGCACGTGTACGAATACGTCACGGCCCTGCTGCATTTGCCTCTGACAACCTTCTCTTGGGTTGTTGTTGGAATTGCATTGGCATCCCACTCCATTCCTCACCTCGGGCTCAGCATCTTGTTTGCCCAATCGAGCTAGCGCCTATCTAGTCCCCCAGGTCTTAATTTGGCACACCTGAATCCCAAGCTTACGGCCCTCAGCGCGCTCGACGGTGAGCCACTCACCCTCCACCACTTATATCGTCACCACACCCGCCTTGGTCGCCTCTCTACTCCATCTTGCTTCAGTCCGACGCCGGCATCTAGACATCGCGGCTCGGCCTGCTACTGAGCAGTCGAGCACGGTCTGATCGGCCCCAAGCTACGCCCTCCCACGCCCCGGCCGGAGCACCTTGAAATACCACACTATGGCACCCCAAAAATTCGCCAGTATGCGCTTGAAGTCCCGGCCTACGCTCGTACCTTTCAAGGACGATGCTAGCCTCATTGCCCTCCGCTACGAGAAGACGGTCCAGGCAGAGCCTCCCATCCCTATTCTTACACGACTTCCCCAAAGATCTCTCTCTTGTTCAACGCGTCGAACTTCCACTTCTGCATCATCATCGACCTTCTCGAGTCCGCCCTCCAGCCCCGTTGTTGTTGCTCCTCCGCCCGCCATCGACCAGCATCCTGCGTTTCGTTCCCGCGCCGCGGCCCGCCATACGACGGTAAACGATTGGAAGAGAGATTCTGGGCTGGCGCCTACTGCATCGTCTTCAGCCACCATTGCTGAGGAGGACTGCGAGGACGAAGAGAGTCGTGCATGCGCCAAGATTGCTGTTTTGGACGCCGACACGGTTCTTGTGCAACAAACGGAACAACCTGTGACACCTTCGGTCTGCGAGAGTACTTCCGTCGATGAGTTGGTTTTGAGCAAACAAAACTCTGGTCGTTGGTGCACGCCTTGCATCGGCAAAGAGGTCGACAGCATGGATCATTATCAAACTGCGCAGGTCGAAATTGCGATTGCGGAAAGAAAGAAGTCTGGCAGTCTTAGCAGCGCCTTATCGGTCGATTCTCCCGTTGAGTTGCGGGACAAGAGTCTGGGTGACCTATCGCCTGCATCGGCGCCAATCATCTCCCATTCGCGGACCTCATTTGCAGCCTCCGATGACTCGCCTAATTTCTCCCCTGTCAACATCCACGAAGACTTCCGACTCCTGAGCAAGGATGCCGTTCACTTCTCTCCCATTTCAGTGTCCATCCCCACGGACAACCTCCTCGAAGATGATTTCCTAACCACCTTGTCTTTCTCGAATCGAGGCAGTCTCATGTTTGGTGGTTTTCACGCGTTCCCCGCACAAACCACCGACGGAACAATGGATGGACAGTCGCAAACGGACAAAGCCCACGCGCCTCCACCAACCCCTGCTGATGCCCCTGCTGATGCCCCCATCCTCCACATTCAATACGAAGAGCCGCCCCAGACCACTGCCGTCAGCACCACTGAGACCAGCGCGAACCATTTGAGCGCCACCGACACAACCACGACCGAAGCAACGACGGCAGAGACGACTGCAGAGTCGGCCTCGCAAGCCACAATGACGACCCCCAGCATCTGCGTCTTGTCCGCGGACGTGGAGATGGAATCTCGAAAGGTGAGATCGCTCTATGAATCCGGCGAAGGCCTCAGGTGGGAAGACGGAGCCCGACCGTCGGATATTGGCGAGCGTCTCAACTCGACCGCCGAAACTCCGACGGAGGAGGTCGAGAATGATCCGTATGGTTTCCTTTTGCCCGGACTGGTGCCCAACCAAGTAAGCTAACGTGTATCTTGTCTGCAGTGTCGCCGAACTCCAGCCTCCCGCTTGGGGAACTCCAAGATCTGGAAGTTCCTATTCCCAACGTCCCGAAACACGCAGCGAGTATGAGGTGGCCGGTGGTCTCGAAGACTGGGAAGACCTCGAAGGATGCGACATCGACCGTTATGGCTTCATCAGCCCGCGCAAGCCAGAGAAGAGCAATGGCACATCCGCTGAACCTAGATCGTCGCAGTCGGCGCCTAGAAGGAAGCACGTCTTTTCTAAGCGAGATGCATTTGGGTTGGGCTTGCCATCCAGAGGACCCAGTAGGAAGGTGTCGGCTAGATCTCTCAACACGCAAGGATCAAAGGCTTCAGCTGCGTCCCGTCGGTCGACCCGATCCGCAATCAGACAAGCAGGAAACCTGTTCCCACACAACCGCGATCGACGATGGATGGACGAGGCTGGGGAGATGCTTTCGCTTTCACTGGGCGATGAAGAGAAGGTGGAGAAGATCTCCGAGGCCATCAAAAAGAAGGAATGGGAGAGATCTGAAAAGTGGCGTAAGATGGCCAAGATCGTCAAGAAGGGCAAGGACGGCGAAGGCATGGAGTTCGATTTCGATGTCAAGAACCAAAAGCTCATCGATAGGACGTGGAAAGGCATCCCCGACCGGTGGAGAGCATCTGCGTGGTACTCGTTCATGGCAACTAGCGCCAAGGCTCACAAAGACTCCCCATCCGAGGATTCCATCATCACCGACTTCCATCGCCTGCAGTGTAGGGGGTCGCCGGACGATGTGCAAATCGACTTGGACGTCCCTCGCACCATCAGCAGGCACGTCATGTTCCGGAAGCGCTACCGAGGCGGTCAGCGCTTGTTGTTCCGAGTTTTGCACGCATTATCGCTCTACTTCCCGAATACTGGCTACGTTCAAGGCATGGCCTCGTTGGCGGCGACACTGCTGTGCTACTTTGATGAGGAGAAGTGTTTCGTCATGCTTGTCCGTTTGTGGCAACTACGAGGCCTAGAAAAGCTGTACAGTCCTGGCTTTGATGGTCTGATGGCGGCTCTGAACGATTTTCAGACCAAATGGCTGGACGGCAAGGACGTCGCCAAGAAGCTGGTAAGACATATATGCGCCTCTCGACCGATGACGTTGGACTGACCTTTTCTAGACTGAGCTCTGCATCGATCCTACAGCCTACGGTACCCGATGGTACCTGACACTATTCAACCTATCTATCCCCTTCGCGGCTCAGCTTCGCGTTTGGGATGTCTTCTTGCTTCTTGGAGAAAACCCCACAGACTCTCCCAAAGTGCCTGAATCGCCCGTCACCATGAACGGCATTGACATTCTGCACTCCACCAGCGCGGCTTTGATCCATGCGCTGCGCGATGTTCTTCTTGACTCGGACTTTGAGAACGCCATGAAGGCTTTGACCTCTTGGATTCCGGTCAAAGATGAGGACATCTTGATGAAGGTGACGCGAGCCGAGTGGAAGGCCCGACAGAAGAGGAAGTAGAAAGTCTTGATTCTGACGCCTGCTTGAACGTCGGCCCGCTCGTTTCCACATTTCCTTTGTTTTACACCACGACCTCCGATTTATGGATATGCGTGCAAGGCGTTTATGGAGTCGGTCATGTTGACTTCGACGCAAGTCGTCGACCAATACCCCGGGATAAACTGCAAACCTCGTATCTGCTGTTACGGGAGATTTCATTTGTGCACTCGAAACGAACGAAATGCTGGAGAAAGCAACGTGGGTTGCGGGAAGCCCTAGCAAAAAAGCGATGCGAGAGCAATGGAGCCGCAGCACGAATTTTTCATATACCCTTTATGCCATACAATAGCCTGGTGCCAACTTCATATACAGCATCAAATCAATATATAATGTATTATTCGAGTACAGATTGATCCCATCCCAACATTGTCTCAGTGTCTGCTCTAGCCATGCCAAATGGTCGCCATCCTTGAGGACACGGTCAAGCCCGCGTCAGGGACCGCTTCATCCCACTTTGTTGTCTACCTTCTAGGCATCGCTTGGCCGTGTTATCGCTTATCGTTTTCTTTCTTGGTGATTCTGCCCTGGCATGTGGTGTTGACGAGGTAGTGGCAGTAGGGATATCCACGCGAAATGAAATTGAGGCCACCCTGAAAACAGGCAAGATATATCATGGCACCTAGGTTGTCTGCGTCTCCTCCTATTATTTACATGCCGTCATCCAACACAACACACTTTGTGTTTTCTTGCGTGGAGGTTTTTTTTTTTTTTACCTTTTCATCTTCAACGAGTGTCTGCTAGCTCCCGTATATTCTTCGTTACTATCCCAGCCACCTATATTCCATTCCAAACATAACAGCCAAACGAGATCCACGCTGAGCCGCACTATCATCAAGAACCGTTCAAACGTTGACCCTGCGGGCCATTCCCCTCATCACCCTTGCCCCCTGCAAGCGTTCCTCACGCAGTATGAAGGTTTTCTCCCCCAAACGTCCTCATTCGGCGCCGTAATCTTGTACACGTCTCCCCTTGTGTTTTGAGGTGCCGCAATCCGACATCTCCCAGTCCTGGACCTCCGTACTCGATGTGCGCGATCGATCACCCACACGCAAAGCTCCTGGTTCTCCGCGTCGTCGCCGTCGCTGCACGCCGTGGTCTCGGCCGGTCGTGATGGTCTGGGACACGGGGAAGCCGGCACCGAAGAAGCCCATTGGGGTCTGTGATGGAGGCACTCCCACTCGATTGTGTAGGTCTCGCTCAGCCCCTTTTTCTACTGCAGCCGCCATCGGTACATTTGTGTTTTGTTTTTGACGCGTGCTGATTTAGGACATGTAAATTGAGGCCCAAAGGGGAACATGTGTAGACTCATTATAAACTTAGGGTGACTCTTGTGTAAGAAATTCTTCTTCGAGCTCCCGTTACCGTGCTTCACTGTTCTGGTTAAAAGGAATGAAAGCTGGAGGAAGATTGGATCTATCGACCTTTGAGCTTCGAGGCGGCATTGTAGAGGCGGTTGGAGTCATCAAGGGGGGCCGCTGGCACCAGTGTAGCCAGTGCGAGCTTGAGGAAAGAGATATTTTGTCTTCTCTTGGAAGTTATCACGGTTGCTCTTACGTATAATAATGCTTCGTGAGGGGGATTTTGTGCACGTTGTGGTTGATTAGAAGAAGTAGTTGAAAGGGTGTTCACTACGCGCTTAGTAGCCCAGTTTTTGACACGTTCAAGATGATGATCGTTGAGAACTGTACGATCAGTCTTCCCTTGAATCAAGCTTTCAGCGCTACTACAGTATTCAACTTGGCAATCATGTAGATCGGGAGTGACGGCGGTTCGGCCTTGTGTCCTGCCTTGCTCGTCGGTGAAGGAAACAGGAAGTTGCCAAGTAGCTCTATGCCTGTTGTTTGAACCCATTTGACCTCTTCATGTTCATTCGAGGTGAGACTTGATCTTGAACTGAAGCATTTTAGTGCAAATGGTGTCCCAATTACAGTCACAAGTATAAGAAAGATATGGATACATCCTTGTGAGAGACTCGAGAGTCGTCGTTCCCGGGAAACGGATCATCTTCTGAACGCAAACACAATACTTTCCTATCGCCGTCAGCTCAACTCATAACCTGCTTTCTTTTGCCGCTGATCATTCTGGCTTATCGAGTCCTCTATGATTACAGGCATTGTAGAAACTTGAGGGCTCGTTGTATTCTTCCGTGTACTTCAGTTATGAAATCTTGCACAGCAGTCGGCCACGTAAGAGTTATCAGTGTACTTGCGAACGGTCACCCGGTTGTTATACACAGTCAACATCTAGCAACTAATCATAATCCATATCAACCAAGGTGAAAGACCCTGGCCCCTTCTGCCCCGGATTGGAAGTTTGCTTAGATTCTAGGTTGACAATAGCTGCTTAGAGCGGCCCACGCTTCGAAGGCATCTCTTCACATATTTGCACTCTAGGTACAGCATCATGAAAGTTTCTTTCAGGTTAATCTTGTAATTAGACCCTACAACAACTTCGAGCTTCTGCCTGGAAAGGCGCTCTTTTGGCCATCGGTCAGTCGCGGTCAGTCGCACCACAAGCCACATCAGCCCAAGGGATGGACTAAAAAACATTGGACGTGGTTCTCACAGTCCCACCCTTCATGAACTGGCAGCTTGGAAGTAGCAAGCCGAAGTGTGTTGCTGGACTCGGTAACTGAAACCGGTAACAGTGAAGCCTATCAGGCCTTATAGCTTTCATGGTTATGCCTATGTGCAACGTGCAGTCTTCAACCCGTATCGCAAGTGAACCATGTGGTCCCGGGCGTAAGAGGAACATGTCTAAACAGTTGTCACTGTCTCTGTACGGTAGACTTCCTAGCTAAGCAATAAGCTGCAGGCAAGTTCACCATGAATCGCCTGCCGGACCTCCTTCGTCACCCACCACTACGAAGACATCAAACACATCAAAAGGTATCAAAAACATACAACACCAGGTATTCGCTGGTCGTCACCGACCCAACTACTAATCCGGCCCTCATTGGCTTATCTATGGGAGAGCGGAAGGGATCCCGAGTTTTCCAATGGGTATGGTCGTATGTGGCAGGAGGTGAAGCACAAGTTGACTATATTTCACAATAGCGCCGCAACCACACATCGTGACTTTTGCCAGGATTTGATGAGCGCTTTCTCTCGAGGTGCTATTCATTTGTTTCTATCATGTGTTACCCTACTTTTAAGATGCAGTTTGAATTTGTAGCTCAGAAGAGTCACTCTGCCTCATCAGCTTAGGCCGATCGTGACCTACACCACGTCTCTGGACGGGTATTACGCCTGTTTCTGCCAAACTTTAGAAAGGGGCAGTCTGGAATGAAGGCTTTTCCGATGACAAGTAAGCTCAGAAAAGTGAGTTGTCTTGGGGGGATTACTTCTTGTCTATATCACTTTTTCCATGACGTCCGAGGTTATTAGAGAGTCCTGGATAATGGGGCAATGGCCCGGCCGACCATGGGCATGGGTCACAAAAGTCACGAAGAAATGAGGACGCTACTAATACATGGACGGGAGACGCTTCAACGAGACAATGGTATGAGTTAGAATGCCGTGATGTGCGGGTTTGCAACGTAGCTGGTAAATCACCCAGATACTTGGCGTCTCGCGTGACTTACACTTGAACAGCCGCCGCGTGACCCTTGATCACACTAAACAAGACACCAGACAAGCAGCGGTCGAGATGAGAAGTAGCCGAATCTTCATCGTTTCCACATAATATCAAGGCATGCTCCAGTACATTGCATACTGCTTCAAGAATAACCACTTCGAATCCTCCGGTTGCCGATATGCCATTGTCTCCCCGGGGCCTGAAACCCCTCCCATGTCTAGTGAACGATGTCACCTCAGTGTCCCAGACGACGAAGCAGCAATCTCGTCCAACAACCATCGATTCATTCAAAATGTAAATGTCCGCAAATGAGTTCCAAGCAATATCGAAACCCAAACCGGTAGCGGTCGTCCTACCTAGTTCCACGTGCCCCCCCCCCCCCCCCCCCCCCAAGGATGGAAGAGGCGTTTTCGTATACCGGCACTGCCCCTTGCTTCCCCGATCTGGTGCTGGTATGTACTCAGATCTTGCAAGTTTCACTGGCACTGGGGTAGCATCTCATGATCTTAAAAAACCGGAATTCCGTCGTTGAAATCCTTGATGAGATGCATTGTCCGATTTTCGATAAGGGAAAAGATCAGCGAGCATCCACCTCCAAGACTCCAACGTGGAAGAGGCATAACCCCACCTTGTCCCCGACATCAAGTTTTTGTACCGTCTCAACAAACGTGTGCGTGGCTTCCTGAATCCTGACAGGTCGGTAAAACTTGCAAAGTTGCATTCGACGGATGATTTTTCACAAACGGTTCCATGAAAGGCCGTTGGTCGCTTGGCGGGTAGTACCACTATCTTAACCGTCCATGGTCCCTGCATGGTGGTCCCAAGTGATGCGTCAATGAATGAGGCTTCACCATCGAAGGTCGGGATTAAGATAGATGATGGGCGCCACTGCGATTTTGAACAAATGACGAACTTCAAATGAGAATGTAGCAAGGCAACTTTGTCGTGATTGTTCGGACCAAGGCACCGCAGGAACTGGTTGGCAAACATACGCTGAACTGAGTCAAGAACGCCTGAGACGTTACAGCGGATGGCATTGAATCGAGTCATTTCCATTTGAACCAAGTTATGGTTTTCAAGACATCAACTGGTGGATTAATGTGCCATTTGAGCAACATGCTCGCGTCTTACATCGCGACACAGCAAACACACCTTTGCTAAGCGCCAACATAACAGACGCCCGAAGCGCACAGGCAGTAAGCCCAACCCTCTTGTCGATTCTTTTGCAAAGACCAAAAAAAAAGACACGGACGCCGGCCGGCACTGGATTTCTCAACACGGCCCCCCCGGTCCCGCGGCTCCCCCGCCTGAACATACCCCCCCACTACACTGCGAACCCACATCCGTGCACGCCGCGCCATCATCCCCGGCCGGCTTAGGACAGC